TACTTGCCACCTAAGAATAAGTTGTTTTTGTTATTGTTGTTTTTGTAGTTGCAGCACTGAATGGCAAACTTCATAAGCATAATATGTCGCATGCGCCACCACCCCACCCAAGCGCATTCACTGTTCTACACTATCTTCGTACCTTATACACTTGTGTACATATAAATATATACATACAGGCATATGCACAAACATATTTATACTTGAGTATATATATATATGTACAAGTATATGCAGCAACAGGAAATTGCAAACTCTTTCTTTTGCTTTCTATCGATTTTCTCTCTTTACTTTATTGGTTGCGAAAACCGCACTGCTGCACTACTACCACCACAGCCTGCTTTGTATGTATGTGCCTCCAATTTCTTTCGATTGTCGATATTTGCTTCTGCTTCTGCTTCTTCTTCCTCTGTGTTTTCTGTTCTTATTTTGCTTTCCTTTGCTGCTGATTGGCTCTTCTTTTGGTCGTGTTAATATGCCGCGCTGGTCGATTACTCTTGTTCTTTTTTATTAGACTGTTTCTTCCACTTGTTGTTTTTGTTACTTGTTTAGTAAAATATATATATGTATATATATGTACATACATATGAAGAAACATATTTGTTCAGCTGGTTGATTCCTATTCTCCATCGGTTGCAATGTCAAAATGCAAATTTTTGCAGTCTTGTATCATTTGTGCAAACAAATTTGCATATTTTCACGGTGCAAGTGTATTTTGTGTTTATTTATAGAAATTTTTAGAGTTGAATACGAAGTATGAACTTCCATTTCAAAGCAGTCTTTACATAAATTGTGTGAATAATATTCTCGAAAGTTCTTTAACCACAAATATTATGAGGAAACTCGAAAATGTTTATACTATTTAAAAAGGTTTCGGTATATTTTTCATATGGTTAATACTCTTCTGTAGCTAGATTTAAATAACAGTTCAAGAATTATACCACTATTCCCCAGACTCTGCATACATCACTGGTTCATGGCGCTAACTTTTTAGTTCGTAGTAATTATGCCGACAATCAGGGGTGAAATCGATTGTTGTCGGAATCAGAAATGAAACCGACAAAATTCTGTTGAAGGGGCTACACATACCGATTATTGATTTGTATATCGGTTTCATTTTCGAAACAGAATTTGTGTCGATTTTAGTTGTAACCGAAACAGATTTATCGGTTTAAATGTCAGAATTAAACCGATCAGTTATTCCTTGACAGAATTTTGTGCAAAGTTCTTTGCAAGCGTAAATTTAATAAAAATGTAAATCATGAACAATGGATTTTTCAACCAGCAATGCCTGGAGTGCAGTAAGAGATCTCCGTTTTGCATTGTCGTTCATTCCTAAAATAATCCAGCGAGGGCAATTCAAACGTTTAAAAGCCTTTAGCATTTCTGTTATAACCACAGAGACTGTAGGTCGCGCTAAGGAGATATTTGAAGTCCACAGACCGTTAATAGGAACCTTCTGCCAAAAACCGCAGTGTCTATGAATCCATATACAAACCAATTATGAATCAACAAATGTAAAAGTACAATGCCAATCGTACGTCGACTCTGGCAGCTCCAACGGATTGCTCTTACACTTTACAATTTTGCGCTTTATTTTCGGGATTATTGCTCCAAATCCTTCTAACGTCAAAAATGCTATTACTTCTGAAGTCATTTCACTTTTAATAATCACAAATACCAGTACAAAAACTACATTGATTTGCTGCGTTTTTTGCACAAATGTATTATTCGAATATCGATTTTGCTTATCTTCGAAAAAAGCAAAATCATCGATTTCATAACACTATTTCAAACAGATATTGATTTTCAATTCCGATAAATAAGCAATTCTAGGTCGGGTTCTATAACATCCCTGAATATGTAGGTGATACTTCTCCATTAAATTCGGATGTTGAGCTGCTTTCTGCAAGTCATGCCCAATACACCAATTAATCACCTTTTAAAGATTTTTTTTTTTCATATAATCAGCAACTTTTCAAGACTGTAGAAGGAAATGCAGCTTTTTCAAGGCATTGCTTTTTGTTATTTTGAGCTTTAGTCAATATTGTATAACCCTTTCTACAAGTCAATCGCATGTATTATGCTCTTCAAAGCCCTTCTCATTAGGTCGGTTATAAGGACCATAATCTCTTCCGTCTGGAGCTCTCGCCGATTTTAGTACATATAAGAGACAAAAAAACAAATTTTCCAGCACTAAAGACATGAATAAGGCCGACCAAATCTTGCTTCTTAGATCCCATAGAGCGATATCAAGAAGCTATGTACCTTTTTTAATTACCGTCAACTGTTGAGGCAAATATGGCTTGATGGGATACTTACTTAAATTCGCTTATAATACGTTCCCCCTTCTCAAGTCGGCCGCGGTGGCCGGGTGGTTAGCATTGCGTATTGCCATTCGGAGGGCTAGGGTTCAAATCCCCGTGCGACCAACATCCAAAAGTTATAGAAAATTAATTTAAAAAAAATATTAAGCTAAATTTTCTTATTGCGGTCGCCCCTCGGCAGGGAATGTCAACCCCTCCGAGTGTATTTCTGACATTAAATAAAGCTCCTCATATAAAAAAAAACATCAGCCGTTCGAAGGCTTTGTTGGAAAAACATCAAGATGCGAAATCATAACTAAGAGGAGGAGCTCGGCCGAAAATCGCTTCAGCGGTTACAAAGCGCCAATTATTATTATTATTCTCAAGGCTTTGCGTTGTCTGATCAGCAGAAAGCTTATGGTCAAAAGGTATCAAAATATGGCGTAACATGAATTCAAATATTTCATTGTATTTCAATAAAATATTGGAATAAAATTTCAATTGAAAGTGTCTAATGAACATCTTGAGCGTAATTAATAAGCTCTGGCTCCTCTAAAAATCTCAAAAGATTTGTCAGAGCTCACTTTGAATCCCAAAGGTGTAGCGGATAAACCTTACCAACTCACAGCTGTTTCAAACGTTCGACGGTTTTATTGGATACAAAAACAACAACAACAACAACAAGAATCGTGGACGGTGACAACATCAGATGAGTCGACATTGAAAGTTTTGCGAATTTATGAGTCTCTTCAATCATATAATTAAGGGACAGTGACTATGGTGTTAACTCAGCTGAAATCGCTGAAGCGGTGTCTACGGCAGTAAAGAAGAAGCAGAAGAAGACTAGAATTACCTGATGACTTAAACACGTTGGAATAGTCGCATCCGAAGCTACTAGCACAATTAAGTTATGGATTTTGTTGTCAACTTAATTATCACTCATCCAGACTTGATGCCGACATACACAACGTATTTATGTCATCTTTTCATGTCTCTTAGAACCTACTCATCTAATTCATCTTTTCCTCTGGCCCAAACGCGTCGAAACAGCTTGTTTCACGGATCTGCCGTTTGATAACCTTGATGACTTAAACACGACTACTACTCTTGATCGGGCTTAGATAGCCGCTACAACAATAATAAGATTAAAATATTCGTAGATTTCACCGGCTAACTCATATCATCCATTTGGATGAACTAACTCATAGTCTGTTGGAAAGTTCAGGAGTAGTAAGATTTGGCTTAGGTTGGTGGCTCCAATTGGTAGCAGACGTGATGATATTGACACAAATATAATGGCCTAAGTTGGTGCTCATGGTAGCTCTGTAGAATATTGCTTTTTCGGTGAACATAAAGACAACCGGAAATCCGACTCTCGGTTTAGGGGGAGTCGAGTAGAAAACCGGTCAGGACATTACATTACACTTTGCGGTGTTGTGATCAAATAGCCGTCTAATGCGCTCTTCTTAGAACGCATTTCCTTACTCAATTTTCTTACGTTTCAAATCAACGGTATTCCATTTGTTGCATAATTGACCGTAGAATTATGGAACATCTCCTTATTTGTTGAGTTTGTGAATTCTGCAGAGAGAGTAAGTAGATTATTTGTTGCGCAGACAAGTAATATTCGTAAGTCGATGTTAGTTCTCCGGTAAGTAGGTGTAGTTTGCTACTATAAAAACTTAGCTCCACTAGTTTCGCGTATTTGTACATTATAAGTAACAAGTAGCACGTTAGGGATTCCTCTGTTGGATTCTGGTATTACGTGCAATCATGTTTCGGGTATAATTCGAATGAGTTCGATGCAGCCACACACTCAGAGCACCTTATTGTGAGCAGCACTCTCTAGTAGTTCTCTCTATTGCTGTGTAGTGTTCACTTAATGACATGCCAATAACAACAACATCCGCCTATCAGAAGCGATTGCATTAATGAAATCAAACACCAGCTGAAGCGAAAACAGAAACAAAACAAAAATTATTATTATTATTTACGAGTATGTATTTAGTTATTAATAAGATAAAAATGGAAGATGTGAAACAAAGGCAAATAGAATTAGCAAAGAGACACACGTGCCTTTCTATGTGCTTAAATACCTATAGCTACACACATACATACAAACATACACTCAATAAATGCACATATACATATATGTATGTATGTATATTTTCACTAAGTAGGTAGTGTATTTAAATGCAAACCACAATGAAACCAGAAATGAGTTTCTCGCATCAAATAGCATATTTTTAGCGAAGCGTGCAAACATAACTGAGATTCATACATACATACCGATATATACATATGTATACATACATATGTTTATATTTGTTTAGGTAGGTTTGTATTTAATTGATGGACAACCAAAAGACGCAGCGGCAAATCCTACGACGAATAATCGGTATTTGAAAAGAAAACGAAATAAAAATAAAAACAAAAACAAAAAATTAAATATGTATATTAGTTGAGAAAAACGAAACTACGCAGTTAAAAGCAGCGGCAGCAGCAGCAATGGTGATGCACAAATCTACATACGCACATACACACACAACACACCGGCAACTACATTGATTTGTACTATTGGCAAAATTAAACTAAAATGTCGCCTCGCGCGTTACTCATTCAGAAATTATGATTAAGTATTTAAGAAACTGTCTAACTGATCACTATTTAATTCTCTGCTCTGTTTCATTTTAGGAATTAATTCGACTGAAACTGCATGCACGTCGGTGTATGTGGGGTTGACCTTTAGTGGAATAATTAGCTAAAAGATTAATGTTCTAAACAACAACAACAACGACGTTGCAAAAAAAAATAACAAAACATTCAAACTCAACATTAAATTCAACATTTAAGACAAATAAATAAACGAAATTTATTTATTCAGTTTTTGTGAAAAGATAATGCAAAAAAAAATTGGCAAAAAAGAAATAATTTTTTTCTTCTATTTTCAAAAGCAAAAAATTACAATGATTTTTTGAGTTTTGTATTTTTGGAAAAAAAAAATAATAATAATAATTTAAGGATTCCTTCCACGATTTTCTGCTGAAACGGAAGTAGTGTGAAAAGTGCGTTGCGTAAATTCCATAAACATAAAACAACAACAACTGACGAATGTGTTTCCCAACAAAATTATTTCAAAAAATAAAAAATATTGATAAAAGTGCTTAATAAACGCTCTAAAAGCAACTACATTTTATATTAATTTAAAAATTAATTTGTTGAAAAATGTGGCAAATGGCAAGAACAGCGCGATTGAATAGTTGATTAGTGCGAGATCACTGCGATCAGTGCGAAAGAGTGCGAGTGTGTCGTATACTCGTCAGTCACTCACTGACGGCGTGTGCGCGGGTGGATCAAGCGTTGAGCTTGCAAGCAGCTTGGTTGGTTGCTAAATTTATGCAACTAGTTAAAGGTAGCATTACAACAAAGTCAACTAACGTTAGTGCAACAAAAGTAAACAATAAAAAAAATAATAGAAAAAATATAAAAATAAATAATATAATTTAATTTTAAATTAAGCACTCAAGTCAACTAATAAAAATCTAAATCTATTACTGAAATTTCCACCGCTACAACAAAAATTACCTATTCTATTTTATCTTCTTCACCACTTTGACATTGCTCGGTCGATTTGTTTGTACGTAAGTACGTAAGTTCATGTAAGTTTGTTATGCAAAATTCGTCGCGTCAAGCAATTGTATTGTCGACATAACGAGCAGAAAATAGCAACCCACCAACCCACCAAACTAACCAAATCAACCAAGCAACCAACAACTAACAGTGTCTGTGATTTCGAGCGCTTCGTGCGCCTCACCAACATTCCACATGACTGCCGTGTATGTTTGGTGTTGGACAATATGCATCGTCGCCGTGTAGATAATGTCGATGATGTTGTCTTTGATCTGGACAACGACAACCCTAACAACAACAACAATAGCAATAACACCAAAAAAATTGTAACTAACGCTTATAACAATAACAAAAAGAGCAATAAGCAAAGTAACGAAATTTACAATACCATCAACAACAACAATAACAATAAAACACCGGCAACAATAATAGTAGAAACAGCAACCACTGTCACTGTCAACGTCGCGGTTACAGTAAACACCGTCAACGGCAACCGTGACACGAGTAACGTCCGCGTCATTCTCGCCATTAAACTGAAACGCGAACAAACGTCGTTGACCAAGACTTTAAACGCAACTGAAGTTGTCGTCCTCGTCGTACTCGTCGTCGTCGTCGGCATTGTCGTAGTCGTCGTTTTAAAAGCCGTCGCGTTGTGCATCTCGTTGCCATCCAATTTACCGTTGTCATTGTCGTCGCTGTCGCCTTTGTCAGCCTAAGTATTTACGTACGCACGACCGTCAGTCAGCTAAACAAGTTGCTCTCCAACTATCTATTGTTCAGCAACCTACTAACTATAAAAGAATCGTCTTCAGTTTGAGATATTTTGCGTTTCATAGTTATAGATAAAATCAAAAAAAAAAAATAGAAAAATTCCAAAATAGGACTGCGCAATGGTTATTAAACTAATGTCTAATGCACATTTAGAGTTAGAACGAGGTCAGACTGTTAATACGATTTTTAATGATAATTTCAGCGCCCCCTAACGGTGTGAAATTCTAATTAAATGTGTTCATTTATAGAGCAATGCATATTTTGGATAGGAGCGAAATCGTACAATAAATACCGTCTTCACAGGCATTTCTACTACTGCGCCATCTATCGGTGAAATTTAAAAGATATATTTTCCGACATATGGTTTATTTGATGGTTTTAATGTGAAGTAAATCGCACTGTAACCGTTAAATTTTAATTGAGTTATATGTTTATGAGTAATTTGATCTTAATTGCACTGTAAACACGGACTTTATTGATTATTCTATTTGTCACTAGCGCACTCCATTAACAATCTAGCTCTTTGCACTATTCAGTCGTTATTTAAGAGAACTCTTTGTTAAGGATAACGACAATCAAAACTCATCAAAAAAAAAAAAGAGAATTATTTCCTTTCCGAATTTCTTCCGTATTTCCGAATTTATTCCTTTTTCGTCGATCCATATGTGGTCTTATTTCTATGAAACGCAACGTATTTGCGCTGATGATCAAATTCAATTAAATTTAATTTAAATTCTCTTTTTTTACTTTTAAACCAACCAAGCAACACTAATAAAACTGACAACATTTGCAAGTGCTTAGTATACGTAAAAAGCAACAACAAAAATAACAAGGTAGAAAAACTATAACGAAAAACACACAAAAAAATACAAACAACAAATACCGTTCATTTGTGAAATTCGCAAAAAAGTGCTGTGCGGATCACCACAGTTCAGTTGGGTGATATTAATTCATCAAACTACAACAGATTTAGTGGCCGTCGCAGGCATTAAAAAAAAAAAAATTATTTTATTTTGAAAAATTGAAAGTGCAAAAGTGTGAAAAACAGCTGAAGTTTTTAAAATTAAGTTGAAACACGCGTGAGCAAGCTTCAGGCGTCGCAGAGGAAGTCGGACCGGGAGACTAGAAAGTTTTTGTTATAGTGCTCAATTGCACACACACATACACACACACGCACTTACATACACATCCATACACAAAGAATTAAAATAAAAATATTCAAAAAATATATAGTTATATAATGCATAGAATTTAATAGAAATTAAGTCATAATTGTAAGTGAAAATAGCTGAAATTTATTATAAACAACAAAGAAATTTAAATTTAATAAAACAACCAACGTAATAAACCTTAGGATTAATTAAACAAATCAACTTCGACAACAATAACAAACAAAAATTTATACATATTAAATATACAGCTAACAGTTTGCAAGTAAAATCATTCGTCCTGGATTATCTGCTAAAGACATTGCGCACCTTGAAAAATCCGATTATGGCCGAGAATCAAACCGCCACGGAAGATTCCGGTCAACAATCGCAACATCAGCAGCAGGCACAGCAGCAACAACAACAGCCGCAGTCGCCGCAGCAAGATCAGCCACCTCCTTCAGCATTAGCATCGCCCACAACACCGCCACAAGAGAATAATTCCGCATCATCGCCTGAAGATACCCAAACAGTCGTTGTGCCCAACACCAACCATCATACACATAACCTCAATCATAACCTCAGCAATAATCAGCAGCATTCAAATCAAGTGCACCCGGAGCAGCAAGGACACCCATTAACCATAATGGATCATCATCAATTCTCCGATATGTTTAAGAGCAGCTCTATAGCAGCCCAGCGCCGCAATACAATACAGTCGCACGCTCCCATACGTGCCGCCAGCACCACATCGATTAAGAAGCCACCATTGACTAAAATGACATCGTTGACAAATGCAAATGCGGGTAGCGGTGGCGCAAAATCGACCACCAACTCGACGGATAAGCATCACCAATCACATCATTATCATCCACACAGCGCTCATCATTCGTCTTTTCATCATCATAATGCGAATAGCAGCAGCAGCATGAATCATCATCACCACCATTCAGCTTCCACAGGTGGTAGTGGTGGTGGTGGTGGTGGTGGCGTCACTGCGAATGCAGTTCATCGACGCACCAGTGAGAGTTTGCGTCTGAACGCCTCGATCATTGGCGGTGGCCATAGTGGTGGTGGTGGCGTTGGCGGTGGCAGTACCAGTTCGGTCGCCAATTCGTCCAATACGAATCTATCGAATGCCACGAGCAATAGCAGCATTCATTCGAATGTCACCAATAATAGTTCCAGCTCGAGTACTTCGGTTGCACCGCAGTCAACAGCCACTACTGCTTCGACATCGACGAAGGTCACATCGCCGAATAATAATGGTGGTGGTGGTGGTGGTGGTGGCAGTAGTTCGGCTAGTACCAACACTAGCCGCAGTCATCACAGTCAGGGGCATAGCGGCGGTGGTAATCAACACCACACTGCCGCTTCACAGCCAAGCAGAAAACCAAAGACGACCTCATCATCATTTCAAATAACTTCCGTTACTGTGGGACAGCCCAAGGTGAATTCCGACAATGGCGACGAGTCGGCCGACGACTTAGACGAATCACATACAGATGAATCTCATAGTCGTGTTACCGACCTCGAGAATGAGACGCCTTCAATGTCGGAAGATACATTCTCCAAGGAGGAGGTGTATTTTTCAAATAATGCGTTGAGCGCTACCGCACCGGTGATACCGACCAGTTCGCAGTATGGACTAGTGGTTGTGGATCCCATTGGTCCGAATCTTGGGCAGACCATACAAAATGTTCAGGTCAATGTATCGGACAACATAATAAATGTGGTGAGTGCCGCAGTGACGCCAGGCGGTAGCAAGAAGAAGGACGACAACAAGGAGACGCAGCATCGTAGCGAGCGCTTCAAGGTGGTTAAGATCGAGTCGACTGAGCCGTTCCGTCGCGGACGTTGGATGTGCATGGACTATCTCGATCACTCAACTGTGGGCACCGGCGGTAAGGAGGGCGGCGGTGGCAACAATAATGAAAAGACTGTTTCCTCCGAATCGGGTAGCGGCGTCAGCAGCGAACCGACAAAAACTACACAAAGTATGATAATCGGCACGGGCGCTGCACAGTTGCTCGAGAATCATGTAGACGCAGTGGGTAACAGTTTGCAGCTCACCACTGGCGGCGGCCCAGCTGCTGGGAACACGACAGCAGCAGCAAATGATGGTAATTGGAATTTCAGCGAGGGTAATGGTGGCACTGGCTCGCCAGCCCAACAGCTGCAACAACAAATGTCTGCACCGACTGGGATTTCCACGGCGCCAGCCACCGTTGTGCATGGCATGCAACATTTTGTGACGGATGCTGGTGGTATGCAACAGGGGCTTGCGCCACAACAGCAACAGCAGCAGCAGCAGCAGCAACAATCGCAACAACAACACCAATCACAGCAACAAGTATACGGAGACAACGCGAACGCCAATAGTGCCGGGGTTGGCAGTGGCACGCAAGAAGTCGTTCATGGGCAGACATTGCCCATGGACTATGCAACTGTTGTTGCTCAGCAATTGCAACAATCATTGCAGCAATTGAAAAAGCAAGAAGAAGCCATTGCAGCTTCCGAGGAGGCCGGCACCGTTTATGTGCCGCCACAACCCCAACAACAACAGCAACAGTCAGCACAGCAACAACAACAGCAGCCGCAGACACTTCCCAGCAATTTACAGTTCCAAAATGGCACTGTTGTTATGCCCAATGAGAATAACAATGGTGCCGATAGTCAGCAGCAGCAGCAGCAGCAGCAGCAACAGCAACAACAGCAGCAGCAAATGCCAACAACATATGCTAAGCCACAACAAACGGGTAGCTACAGCCAACCTCAGCAACAAAACTTCCAAACAGCTGTTGCTCAGCAGCAGCAACAAAAACAACAACAGCCATCTCCGCCGCAAATGTTGCACGGCGATGCCATAAATATGCAAATGCAGCAACAACAAGCGGTGCAGCAGCAACAGCAACAACAATCGGCTTCCGCACCAACATCTCAAATCGACGGTGTTGTAGCACCACCGCAACAAACTCAACAACAGTTCCAATACCAGTCACAATCGCAGCCGCAGTCACTGCAACATCAACAGCAGCAGCAGCAGCAGCAGCAGCCACAACAACAACCACAACAAGCTCATCCACCGCAATATCAGCATCAGCAATCAGCTCCGGCTGGTCAAACCATGCCGCATGTAACTCAAATGGCAAATTATGAGATGCAGCAACAAGCTGGCGGCCAACAACAACAACAGTTGCCACAGCAACAATTGCAACAGAGTGCGCCACCAACAATTGCCGATCCACAAGCTCTTGTAGCCAACATTCAAGCCCATCAAGAGCAACAACAAAAGCAACAGCAGCAACAACAACAACAACAACCAATATCGCTTGATAGTGCCCAATTAACTAATGCCGCTGCAACCATTGCGAACATGCAAAATGAAGTAATGCAATTACAACAGCAACAGCAACAAATGCTGAATGCTAATAATATGAACAATGCTAGTGCCAACACTAACAATAACAACAGTAATAATAATAATAACAGCAACAATGTTGCAACTGTGACAACCGTCGACGAGCAACAAGCGCAGGCTCAACAGCCAGCGCCTACACAGCAGCAGCAGCAAGTACAACAACAATTGCAACAGCTACCACAACAACAGCAACAGCAGCCACAACAAACACAAACGAGCGCAGAAACAGAGACTGAAAGGTGAGTCAGCAATCTTTTTTACCGATTTTTTTTTCTACATTTTTTTTTTTTTTGCAACATTTCTTTACCGGGATTTATAATTATAAAAGATTCGAATAACCGCAGTGGGTGTAAAGTCAATTAACTGCAATCTTCACCAGCCTCATTTAATATTTTTCTAATTTTATTATACTGCAATTATTATTATTATTTTTCCTTATCACATTTTGAATTTAAAAAAAGAGCTTAAATACGATTTTTATGTACAATCAAATTATGGCGCCATCTAGCGGAACTCTTTGTCTGTTTGGTTGTTGTTATTAAAATTGTTGTTAAAATTTATAATTTCCTTTTTTTTTTTTGAATTCTCGAATTTTTTTTTTTTTTTATTTTAGTAAACGTACTCCTATCGGCATCTATCGAATGCTAATGTGATCAGATTACAAGTGGTCTGAGCAAGAAAGCGCCTTTTTCAACACACTGTCGGTCGATCATTGTCGCGGTGAAATATCCGATTGCCCCGTTTCGTTCGTTGGCTCGTGACTACTTCATTGATGGCCTTCCACGATGGCACTTCTTGTCGATTGTTTCAAAATTATTGAGTATTTTTCTAAGCGTGCTCAGTCAAGTCTCAACATAGATTTCGCTAGCTTACACTGGTCCATTAGTGTCCAATCTTGCAAGATCTAGATGTCTAAGACATGATCTAGATAAAGGCGGACGAGAACGAGTGCGGTGTTTCAATGTCCGTACAATGATACAGCAGTTCTTTCGAGGGACCGCTCCTGAGGATCCCCTAAATTAATAATATTTGAAAATAGTTTGCTGAAGCACCCAGAGTTTAGTCTCTGTTTCAGCTAATATGTTTATGTTCAATGATTCACAACTTATTTTAAAATAAGCTGTCAAACATACATACATACATTTGTATGTACATATGTATATAAACCGCAAATGAACTTGGCTTTCCAAATTATTTTATTATACCTTGGCTAACCTTTGATTGCAAAACCGTTACTGCATACACCTCTGATCATATGTGCATATACACGTATGTACATATGTACATACATATATGCCATTTTTGTTGTTATGAGCGTAACACGCTCTCACTCATAAATTAAAATCCGAACAACAGCCGTAGATTTCTTCACATAAATGTCTAACAGCAGACGCTTTGATTGCTTGTCTGAAAAAGTCGACTGCCAAAGTAATTGAATTGAACAGCTCGCAGGCAGGCAGACGGACCAATTCAACACAAAACAAAAAAAGAGAAATAGAAAAATAATGTTTAAAGACTACAAAAAGTCCACACTAAGCTCGTACTTACTCATTTTTATACCAGTATGTACATACATATGTACGTACGTATGTATGTACGTGTGTGTTGTGAGTCTGTATGAAAAGACATCTGTGAAATCGCCGGCTGCATGTACATACATACATATGTACATACTATATAACATATATATACAAACTCGTACGAATGTATATATGTATGTATGCATGCATGCCAACATGGAGTTGCAAGCGTTGCATGAAAGAGTTGATGCAAGTACTTGTTGTTGCATATACAAAAATGCATTTGAGTTTGCGCGACTTGAGCAGCCACCGATCAGTTGCCGGTTTCTGCTGTTACACATGCTGCTGATGCCAACAATGCTGATGGCTTTTTTCTTGTTATTGCATGCTGTAAGCTTATGCCGGTCTTATAGCGGTTGGCTATAGCTTTGTGGCTCCGATTGCCGGCTGGTTGGCTCTGACTCTGACTGTTGATTGTATGTACATGTGCGTGTGTATGTGTGTGTGTGTGTGTGTGTGTTGTCGTTAATGCTGTCGTGGCTGCCTGTGAAATGCAAGTGGGCCACACGACACGACGCTGTTGTTGTTGCTGTTGCTGAAGTAATCCTTTAATTTTTTATTTTTTTTTTTTTTTGCTCTTAAATTTTAACTCCACTACGACTTGTAAGCGCTTCGTCTTACACACTAACTCATTCACCACCTTCAACAACTTGTCGTATATAAATCTGCATAGATATATATGTATGTGAGGCTAAACGAGTGTGTGCTTGTATGCTGCTTCATCTCATCGTCCACAGTAATAACAATTGGTGTTTGCCTACACCTTATTGCATGCAGTAAAGCGGTGGCAAAAAATGGAGGAAAAAAATTTAAAAAATAAAAAAAAATATTTTTTAAAAATAAAAATTCAAAACGTATAACTTGCGCGTGCTCATATTTAATAAGTGCACAATTCATACTTAAGCGACGAGCAGACATACAAACATACTAAAATTGTTGGTACAATAATTGTCAAATGTTAGTGCATATGAGCAGAATTGCAATCGAGCGGGCTCATAGGCTCACACTAATTGCATAAATAGCATAACTGAAGAAATTAATATTCTCATTTTATGCTCTACATGCAGCGTATAGACCAAATTAGAATAAATTATTGGAAAATTAAAAATTTTATAAAAAGAAATACAGTTGCATTAACTGGAAATATTCTTATTCATTTCAATTATGTCCGTCTGAGAAGTTAGTTAAAGACAAAGCAAATCAATATCGCAAATTTAAAAGTTGTGCCATTTTTGCAGTGAGTGCGTGATATGTACTCGTATATATATTTTGGCTTATTGCCAACGCTCTGAGTTGACAAACAAAAGAAGAATTTCGTATTTTGACTCCTGGCGAAAAAAACGCATAAACTCTGCTTCCCCTACGCATTGAAAGTTTCACTGCGCTTTTAGGCAACTGAATTGTTTGATGATGACTAGTAGTAGTTGGTTAAAGATAAAAAAAAAATTGCTGCTAAAATATACAGACATGATCAAGTAAATAATAAAACTGGAAGCACTTAGTCTCGCATAGATGTTTAAATATTCAGAAACACTACTAGTTACCTACTAGTGAATATATTGCCAAGTTTTCATAAATTATAAAATAAATATTCAAATTAAATTTTCTACAATTTTTACTTATGTATAAACTTTTTGCCGAACGAGTGTTAGGATTAAGCGCTGCTACGAGTCCGATTTAAAGTAAATAATTTTCTATGCGAAGAAAAAGCCTCGCTTCCTATATTATTCCAGCTGGTTGAAGCAATGAGTTTAAAAGTTTAATTTTCAAATTTGGTATTCACACTTAGCGTATGTGTAGCTGATACAAACAATGATTTTTGTGCAAATAAAATAAAATCAATACGAGTAATTATTTAAAAAATTATTCATTTAAATCGTTCGTTTTCAGAACTAAGTAAAATTTGCAGGCTTCATAAAGACTTGAGGGCAATCTTTGAAATTAGCCGTTGCTATTAAGGTTTCACAAACTAAAACAATCATAATTGCCAATTGAATGTCTGTGTGAACAGAGTTTTAGTGGCAGTTCTTGTTTTATAAAATTTTATTTAGTTGAAAAGTAAACTGCATTTGTAGTCCCGTGTAGTAGTGCCTTCTGAAAAATTTCTTTATTAAGACTATTTCAAGTTAGAAATAAATAATATATATTTTTGTTAACGAAATTTTAATTTTTTTAATTTTAGAATTACTTATTTTATCAAGCGGGTTTCATAAAAAATTTCAAAAGCTTCATGCGATTAGCCTGCCTGCCCTCATCGCCACCACTGTATTTCTCAAGACATTTATTTAGCTTAATTTTTTTCGAAATAGCCATAGCTCTTATATAATACAATTGTGTGTATGTAAGAATAAACAAAAAGGGGCATAAGCAATGCAGTTTATTTGTTTAGATTTAACTTAATAAACCTCAAATATTTTTTTATCTTTTTTTGGCACTATTCGCAATGCTGATAAATATTCTTCATTGCATTTTTGCCGTTGTTTAATTTATTTTTAATTACTTTTTTTAAATTCGTTTCGTTTTATTTGTTGAACTTATCACTTGTTTATTTATGCTCTTTCTTAGAAGAAAACAGTAAAGTCATTCATTAATCCTCTATTTGTAAATATTTTTTTTTTTTTTGGTTCCACTACAAATATTGACTTTCAAAAACAAACAAAAAAGTATTGACGTCAACTAGACACTTTGCAAAATTTTATCTTTACATTTTTTAATTTTATTAATTTTATTTTCTAGGAATTTTTTTAATATTAAAAACACTTGAGAAAAGTGAAGGCGCAAAATTTACTGATTTAGATTTTTTTAAATTTATTTTTAACCACTGAATTGAATGTCAAGTGAGTTCAAATCTTTATGCGGCCCTTATTGAGCATGCGACAAAAAATTTTTTTGAAACTTTTCACTAACAACGGAATTAGTTTAACTATTTGTCAAGGTTGTCCGGGTCGAGTGCTACATATCTTATCACAAATTATTTGATTGTTTTGGCGGTCATTGACTTCCACGAAAGTGTCATGCATTAGACATATGTACATACATATATATGTAATACATTAGTGATTTAAGTATTCTCACTGTAATTTTGAATATAACTATATTTTTTACAGCAGATTGTATGCTGTTATTGTTACCCCTCACTAGAGTGGGATATAATATAATAGTCGGAGCGTTTAGCTGAATTTTGTTTAACTTATTTGTCTGAAAGGCAAATATGATAGACTAAATGTAGTCTAGTTGTCGGCCGGAAGCAGTAATGGCGCCGATCTTTAGTTAGTTGTGACACCAAGTTATAACCGGTGATTTAATTCTTTTCTAATTGCCGCCTCGCTGCCTTCCTGCTGTGAAAATTGATGTGTAAAACATTCCTTTCGATACTTTTATTTTAAAGATAAAATAATAACCGCTTCCCTTTTTTTACCAAAAAACTAGTACCAGGATAACGCAGTCTAAAGCGGTATGTTATAGTAGTTCGTACGAAGTCGTTGCTCTTCGTGTATTACACTCCAAATATTTGAGAGGTTAAGAGTTACGCGATCAAGCATTAGTTTCATAATCTCAATCTTTCTAAAGGCCAAATTTTCAATGCAATTCCGTTTTAGAGATAGAAATTCAACATGTATAAATGAACTGGTATTTAACTAGTATGGTATTTGATGCAG